CTGCGCCACCCAGGCGCCCCTGATTTCCTTAGTTTATATAGGAGTTGTTCAGTCTCTCGTTTAGACCTTTTAAAATTTTTTTTAATGTTTATTTATTTTTGAGAGAGAGGGAGAGAGGACAAGCAGGGGAGGGGCAGAGACAGAGGGAGCCACAGAATCTGAAGCAGGCTCCAGGCTCCGAGCTGTCAGCACAGAGCCCGAGGCGGGGCTCGAACTCAAGGACCGTGAGATCATGACCGAAGTCAGACACTTAGCCAAATGAGCCACCCAGGCGCCCCCGTCTCGTTTGAGATGTTACTCTTTCCCTTACCTGAGAAAATTCTCCCTATTTTTCGATCAATAAAGTATTTATCTATGGCTTCTACAAGTGCCTTGGTTTTATCTTTCACATTTAAGTCTACAGTGAATTGGCTATTTTCCACGGGATAGGAGGGAATATAATGCGCTTTTCCAGTTAGGTGACAGTTTGTCTTTGCCCCATGTATTAAAGGGCTTCAGATGTCTGCCAGTGCTTCACAGTGCCTGATCCGCCCTTGACCAGCTTTCGACATTTAATGCTGGTCCACGGAAGATACTTTTCCTTTCCCTCGGTCTGTTTTTCTCTCTGCTAATGCTATGTTGTCTGGAATACTGTGATTTGAAAATCTTTGATGTATATTCGGCAAGCCGCCGCTTTGTTCTTTGGAAGACCTTGACCATTTTTGGACATTTGTTTTTCCTTTTAGGTTTGGAGGTCTAATAAAAAGTCTGTTTTGGGGATTGTTGGAATTTAATAAAGACACATTTTGGGAGAGGAAACATCTTAAGAAGTGGAGTTATTTCTAAGAACATGTACCATATTTTCACTTTTTTTCATTCTTCTTTGTTCAAGAAAAATGTAAATCTTTTTCCATTAGGATTATTAAATATCATTCATTAGTCTTGTTTAGTGTTCAGTTAAATTTGTCCTGGAGGGGGATGCCCCACTGGCTCAGTCAGTAGAGCCTGTGATGCTTTTTTTTAAAATTTATTTTTAATGTTTATTTATTTTTGAGAGAGAGAGAGAAAGTGAGCAGGGGACGGACAGACAGGGAGACACAGAATCCAAAGCAGGCTCCAGGCTCTGAGCTGTCAGCACAGAGCCCCATGCAGGGCTCGAACCCACAAGCTGTGAGATCATGACCTGAGCCAAAGTCGGACACCCAACCGGCTGAGCCACCCAGGCACCCCTGGTGTCTGTGACTCTTGATCTCTGGGTCATGAGTTGGAGCCCCCTGTTGGGTATAGAGATGGCTTAAATACACACACACACACACACACACACACACACACACACACACACACACACCACCCCTTAAAAAATATAAATAAATTTGTTTTGGAGGAAACCACATGCAAGCTTCAAGGAGATGTTATCTCCTACTGTAATCCATAGGATGGGCTCACTTCCCCAAGCAACAAGTTGTAACAACACATGTAAAATACTGTCTTCCAGGGAAGCTCATTCGGGACTCCGTGCCTAGATCACATAGGCCCCCTCTACTGCGCATAACAAAAGTTTGTGGACTCTCAGAACGAACACAAGAGTTTGGGATACGTCATAATCTTTGCCTAAACAGTTTGGGCACACTGAGTCACTCTCATCAGGTTGGGGAGGTCCCTCCTATATCTTGGCTCCCAGATACCAATGAAGGAAGGACTGACACCGCGAGCAGGCATTTGTAAGGATCCGCCGTCTCAGACCTGCTAATAACGTTAACTCTCTTCCACATGCGAGGTACTAGGACACTTTTATGAGCCAGCGCTGCAGAGTAATTGGAGCCACTCCAAGTAATTGAGCCAATCCAAGTAGTTCCTTTTACTCCGTGGATCTCGCAAGAAGTGTGGATTTCCTGTTCTTTTCTTAACCAGATGGGTGAAATCTACCATCCAAATTACCGTATGGGAGCCATTTCTCGATCACCTGCACGTAGACCTCAGTGAGCTAATGATCTTGTTCAGAGACCAGCATTTAGGGGAATTGTGTAGCTGAGGGATATCTGCGCCCAGAGGTTAGGCTGGCATGCCCCTGGGCCCCACACGAGGGGTCAGAAGTGCAGGAAATGGAAGGACAGCCTCTAGGGTAACTGGTTGAATATCACTGCCTCGTGAGATCAGAGAAGGGAACCTCTGTGTTCTTTTGGGAGAAAACACTGACGGGGCTCCTGGGTGGCTCAGTTGGGTAAGCGTCTGACTCTTGGTTTCAGCTCAAGTCATGATCTCATGGTTCGTGAGTTTGAGCCCCGCGTCAGACTGCACTGACCGCGTGGAGCCTACTTGAAATTCTGTCTCTCCCTGTCCCTCTCTGCCCCTTCCCTGCTCATGCTCTCTCTCAAGGTAAATAAATTTATTAAAAAAAAAACAAACACTCCTGAACCTTTTGTGTGTTTCATAATGATGAGTGCATTGACCGTCAAACCACTGTGGCTTTCAAGTGAACGTTCTTGCAGATTGCAATGTTTATCCAGTTCCTCAAGCTCAGCAGGGCCTGAGGTACGCTGTTACGGTTCTGCCGAGCATCCTGTCATCTCAGCGTGTGTGCGTACACGTGCTTAAAAGTTGGCGAGAAGCGGCTCCGAGGCCCTTGCATAGAGAGGTTTTGTGGGGTTCGGAGTTGTGATGCCTTCTTTTTCATACATAAGCTGTAATATCTGAATGACATCCTCGCCCCGTGAAATGGGACAGATAGGAGGGAATGAGTGAATCTCTGACAGATATTTTTATAGACAGATGAAAACGAACACTTCTCTGCCAGAATATTTTCATTCAGCCAGCTGCGTCAGACTATTCCTGATGGCCGGGAGTACTTGGGGACAATATGGCTAGCTGGTCCTAGTTACCAATTGGATTCCCACAGGCCTTCTGGCCTTTCGTGGTTGGCAGTGGAAATAGAAGCAGAAGCTCTCAGGGCGCCTGAGTGGCTCAGTCGGTTAAGCATCCGATGTCGGCTCAGGTCATGATCTCACGGTTCGGGGGTTCGAGCCCCGCGTCGCGCTCTGTGCTGACAGCTCGGAGCCTGGAGCCTGCTTCGGATTCTGTGTCTCCCTCTGTCTCTCTGCCTCTCCCCCGCACATCCTCTCTCTCTCTCTCTCTCAAAAATAAACATTCAAAAAAATTTTTTTTGAAGAAGCAAAAGCTCTCAATGTTTCACTGTGTTTTTATTCATTAAAACTTGACGTGGCTGTGCCCCTCTGCTTCATGGAGTGCTGTGTGACATGACGGGTAATAAAGAAGGAGGCGAGCTTTTTCTCACCAGGAATTGGTGGCCTTACAATGGAAATGTTTCTTTCATTTGCATAGTATTTCCTTTCCCAACGTGCTTGGGACTCTACCATTAGAAAGCAATGAGACTGGAAGTGAACGTAGTAAATGTAGTAAAAGTAGGAATAATTTTTTTTTAAAAAGTTTTATCTATTTGTTTTGAGAGAGGAGCATGAGCCCACGAGCAAGGGAGCAAGCAGGCTGTGCGCTGACGCGGTGCTCGATCTCAGGAACCGCGAGATCCTGACCTGAGCCGAAATCAAGAGTCGACGCTTCACCGACTGAGCCACCCAGGCGCCCCCAAAGTAGAGAGAATTTCCATGTATTCATGACACTACCAAATTTTTGAGGAGATGATAGTGTAGAGAGAGTGGGAATTCTGATGACCGAGTCATAGAGTATTTTGAGATCACGGAATCATGTGAACTTCTTATGAATTGACTATAGATTCCTAGTGCTGTCTCATCCACCCTCCTCCACACGTATGTGGGATGTTTTAGGACGCAGTGGCCTTTGAGGATGTGGCTGTAAACTTCACCCTGGAGGAATGGGCTCTGTTGGATCCTTCCCAGAAGAAACTCTACAGAGATGTGATGCGGGAAACCTTGAGGAACCTGGCCTCAGTAGGTAAGGATGACAGCTCACTTTCCCCCCGTCAGTTAGAGGATGCGTGTTCCTTGCCCATCAGCGCTCTTTGGTTTGGAACGGGGCAAAGGAGTACTTTGGCAAATCAGGCATGGGCAGAGCTCATCGTGGACTTGTAATAATTCTTCTATAATTTATTGGTTTTTTTTTTCTGGGTTTGCATTGTAGGGAAAAAGTGGAAAGACCATAACATTGATGATCAGTACAAAAACCAGGGAAGAAATCTAAGGTAACTTGCACTCACTGTGGAAAGGAGCATCCAAAGGAATCTTTGTATGTTGCAAGAATTGAAAAGCAAGCAGACATGGGGCGCCTGGGTGGCTCAGTTGGTTAAGCATCCGACTTCAGCTCAGGTCATGATCTCGTGGTTCGTGGGTTTGAGCCCCACGTCAGGCTCTGTGCTATTAGCCTGGAGCCTGGAGCCTGCTCTTGATTCTGGGTCTGCCTCTCTTTCTGTGCCTCCCCTGCTCGCACTCTCTCTCTGTCTCTCTCAAAGATAAACATTAAAAAAAAAAAAAAAACTTGGGGCACCTGGGTGGCGCAGTCAGTTAAGCGTCCGACTTCAGCCAGGTCACAATCTCGCGGTCCGTGAATTTGAGCCCCACGTCAGGCTCTGGGCTGATGGCTCAGAGCCTGGAGCCTGTTTCCGATTCTGTGTCTCCCTCTCTCTCTGCCCCTCCCCCGTTCATGCTCTCTCTCTGTCCCAAAAATAAAAAAAAAAAAAAAAATAAAAACAAAACAAACAAAAAAAAAAAACCTTAAAAGCAAGCAGACACAAGACAGCCCAGCTTCAGATGTAGGTTTTCCTAGAAAATTTTCACCGAAATGTTTTCTTAAATGTGACAGCTGTTCAGTGTTTGCAAAAGAGTTCGTTTGTAAATAGTATTCAGAAACTCCATATATGACTCTCACTACTTTCACGTAAGAGTTTTGGTCGAGCAGAATATTTCAAACAGTTCAGACAAGACAGAAAAACCTACCCTTTTCCTATGAATTGTAACAATGTAATCCTAGTATTTACTAATAGGTAGGAAGTCACAAATCAATAATACACTTCTGGATTTTTTTTTTTTCAGGAGTCCTATGGTAGAGAGGCTCCATCAGAGTAAAGAAGGTGGTCAGTGTGGAGGAAACTTCAGCCTTCTTCCGCATCTTAACCTGAACAAGAAGACTTCTACCGAGGTAAAACTGTGGGAGTGCAGCGCGTGTGGAAAAGTCTTTATGCGCCATTCATCCCTTAATAGGCATAAGAGATCTCACACTTCGCCAAAGCCATACAAGTATCAGGAGTATGGAAAAAAGCCTTATAAATGTAAAGAGTGTGGAAAAGCTTTCAGTTATCTCCAGCCTTTTCAAAAACATGAAAGAAACCACAGCGTAGAGAAATCTTACAAATGCAAGGAATGTGGGAAATCCTTCCGATATCGCCAGTCCGTTCGAAAACACGAAAGGACTCACACCGGAGAGAAGCCCTATCAGTGTAAACAGTGTGGAAAGGCCTTTAGATATCATCAGACCTTTCAGACACATGAAAGGACGCACACGGGGGAGCAGCCCTATCAGTGCAAGCAGTGCGGGAAAGCCCTCAGCTGTCCCAGCTCCTTTCGAAGTCATGAAAGGACTCACACGGGAGAGAAACCTTACGAGTGTAAAAAGTGTAGTAAAGCCTTCAGTTGTCCCAGCTCTCTTCGAAAACATGAGAGAACTCACACCGGAGAGAAACCCTATGACTGTAAGGAATGCGGGAAAGCCTTCATTTCTCTCGGGAGCTTTCAAAGACACATGATCACACACACTGGAGTCGGACCTTATAAATGTAAGGAGTGCGGGAAGGCATTCAGCTGTCCCAGTTCGTATCGAATACATGAAAGATCTCACACCGGAGAGAAACCCTACGAATGTAAGCAGTGTGGTAGAGCCTTTAGTTGTTCCAGTTCCTTCCGAACGCACGAAAGAACTCACACTGGCGAGAAACCCTATCAGTGTAAAGAATGCGGAAAAGCCTTCCATTGGCTCACCACGTTTCAAGTGCATGTGAGAACGCACACTGGAGAGAAGCCCTATATATGTAAGCTGTGCGGGAAAGCCCTCAGTTGTCCCACGTCCTTCCGAAGACACGAAAGGACTCACACCGCGGAGAAGCCCTATGAATGTAAACAGTGTGGGAAGACCTTCAGCTCTCCTCTAGGTTTGCAAATACACGGGAGAACTCACACTGGCGAGAAACCCTATAAATGTGAGGAATGTGGGAAGGCCTTCGTCTCCCTCACCAGTTTTCGCAGACATATGATGACACACACTGGAGACGGACCTTATAAATGTAAGGAATGTGGGAAAGCCTTCAATTGTCCCAGCTCCTTCCGGATACACGAAAGAACTCACACGGGAGAGAAACCCTATGAATGTAAAATATGCAGTAAAGCCTTCAGTTGTTCAAGTTATGTTCAGGTACATGAAAGAACTCACACGGGAGAGAAACCCTATGAGTGTAAGGAGTGCGGGAAAGCCTTCATTTATCGCACAACCTTTCGAGGACACATGAGAGTGCACACGGGAGAGAAACCTTATAAATGTAAAGAATGTGGGAAAGCCTTCAGTCGACCCAGTTCGTTTAGAAGCCATGAAAGAATTCACACTGGAGAGAAACTTCTTGAATGTAAACACTGTGGGAAAGCCTTCAATTGGCCCACATCCTTACACAAACATGTGATGAGAATGCACACAAGATAGGTAAATTGTTAACTGAAAAGTACAGGAGAGCGTTCAGTCTTAACAAACGCAGAGTCGTGTAAAAACACCACTGGAGAAAAATGACATAAATGCAAGAAATATGGGAAAGTCTGATGCACTTTCAAAGACGGTACTCCGGAGAAGTCACAACATGAAAGAAGTGCTTCAGAAGCTGAAGATAATGACTTTTGTTCTGAAACTCAGTCTCTGGACTATAGCTTCTGGTTGTTGCTTTTCAGCTGAACGTTGAGTTGAGACAATTCTGTGAGCATTGTTTAAGCAATAGTACAGAAGCTTAGTAAGCAGTCTTTTTCCTTAAATCAGTTTGTAAAAGTTTTGTCTTTCCATTTTCAAGTCTGTTGGATCTATGGGTGAGTTACGGTGTATTTGTAATATGTAAGTATTAATTTTTATATAATTTTTTAACTGTTCTGAACGTGAAGGGGCCATGGTATAATGACATTTTGGTATTTGTTGGGATTTTCTTATTGACCTCCCGTCACAGGTACTGGATATTCCTTGTCTATTATAAATATTCCTCCTTTCATATGTGAAGTGGTTTCTGTTTTGTTTGTTTTTTAATCCAAAGAGTCTTTTCTTTCCTGGTTAATAAATTGTAGGCATCCATTTGTAAGTATGCAGAGTTTATCATAGGGTATAATCTCATTGGAATTGCTGTTTACATCTTTCCCCTTGACTCTGTCATTTCTTCTGACTGTGATTTGGAGATTATACTTTAAGAGACCAAAAAAAAAAAAAAAAGTAGCATTGGAGATAGCACTCCTGGAATGCGTTAGGTCAACATGGGTAATGTTGGGACCTAATTTTCTAGAATCTGCTCTCTTTATAGTTTCGTGTTAGAATTCACCGGTAGCCTCACTTGCATGAGAGTCGGAAGGCAAAAAAGGAAGAAGGCCTTAGTTTTTGGAATCACGGTACAGACAGTGATCGATACCATAGGAATTTTGCCTACACCTTCCAGCCTGTTTTGCTGATTCTTTGCCCTGCCCGTCAAGAGTATCTTCAGTACCACCGCCAGCTACTTGACTTCCATTTTCTCAGAGCTGTAGCTTTCCACAGATGCCGCCACGAGGTCTACGACCTGGCAAAGGTTGATGCCGCTTGGATTTTCCCGCAAGCCATCCTGTGTCCACCAGACCATCATGGTTGAGAATGTTCTTTAGAGCGCTGACTTCCCTCTTCTCTGGACTGTATTTGTATAGGGTCTAATTTGTGTAGTAAACCCCTCGTTCTGTTAACACTCCTAATTACTGTGTGTTCCCGATTTCACCAGTACAGCTACAACATGCAGCCAAGAGGAACCCCACGGTAACCTATTCCTCTACCGCATTGTACAGTGACTTCTGTGAAAATAAGCCTTTTCGTGTGAAAATAAGCACCTTCTCCTTATCAGGCAGATTGTGGGTGTTTCTGATTACTCACATCTGAACATAAGTCTTCGGTATATTTTCAATTATGTTTTTATGTGATTTAAAACATTTCCTAAAGCTCAAACCACTGTTTCTGTCCATGGTCCTTAAAATTTTTTAACTGTTGGATATTAACAAATGTTATCTTCTCCATTTCCTGATAGGATATATTAAAACGTCCCATTGCGATTGTGGCTTTTCAAGTCAACCTGTAATTTTGTCAGCATTATGCATTCCGAGGGTCATCGCGTGCAGACGAGTTCAGATATTTTTTCCTCCAATTTTGTTTTTTATTCTGTAGTCATAATTTTTGTAATTAAATTTCTCGTCCTCCGTTATTGATTCCAAAAATTTGCATCATGGTTTGGTCAGTGCCTTCTTGCCAAAGACTGCCAGGTGACATCTGTGGTCAAAGAGAGAGAGGTGGAATGAATTGTAGTGACAAAGGTGACCACAAAGCACAAATAACAACGGGATTATGTTGGGGCGCCTGGCTGGTTCAGTCAGCGGAGCGCGCGACTCTTGGTCTCGGGGTTGTGAGCTCGAGCCTCACGTTAGGTGTAGAGATTACTTTAAAAAAAATAAAATCTTCTAAAAAAAAATGGTGGAGGCAATCAATGTGAAGGTGCTCAAATGGTCTAGGATTTGGACTTGTGAAACTCTTACAGAAATTAATACAATTAAAAGCAGATATTTTTACAGGGGAATTGAGAACAAAGCAACCCACAGACCGAGGGAAGACCCTTGCCCAGAAAAGGCCTTCATGCTGGGCTGAAGAGGCAGTCTTTTCTTTGCGTGGAGCCAGTCTGCACAGAGGTGATGTGGGTGTTTTATCCAATGCCCAAGTTTCCACAAAAGATGATGAGGCATACAAAGAAACTTGGAAACCTGGCCCACTGAAATCAAACCCTCAATCTCCAGAAACCAAGCCTAACAAAACACAGGCCTCAGACTTTAGTAGACAAAGAATTTAAAATAATATGCCTAAAGAGCTTAGAAGGAAAATACAGTCCAAAGAACAATGGATGAAGAAATTGAGAATATCAAAGAGAAATCATTTTTAAAAATCTGGAGCCCAGGGCACCTGGGGGACTCCGTCAGTTGAGCATCCAACTTCACCTCAGTTAGAGTCCCGCATCGGGCTCACTGCTGTCAGCACGCAGCTTGCTTCGGATGCTTTGTCCCCCTCTCTTTGTCCCCTGCTCACGCTCTCTCAAAAATAAGCCTTGGGGCGCTTGGGTGGCTCAGTCATGTAAGCATCCGACTTCAGCTCAGGTCACGATCTCACAGTTTGTGAGTTCGAGCCCCACCTCGGGCTCGCTGCTATCAGCACAGCTCCCAGAGCCTGCTTCGGATCCTCTGACCCCCCCGCCCGCCCCCCCCCCCGACCCCCGCCTCTGCCACTCCCCTGCTTGTACTCTGTCTCTTAAAAGTAAACATTAAAAAATAAATAAACCTTTAAGAAAAAATAAAATAAAATTCTGGAGCTGAAATCTACAAGAACTGAGTTGAAAGAATTCACCAGAGGGGTCAAAAGCAAACTTGAACAAGCAGCAGAAACAATCTGCAGAGTTGAAAACGGGTCGTTTGAAATTTGAGTCTGGGGAGCAAAGAAAAAAAGAATAAAGGAAACTAAGCCAAGGAACTTAAGGGATACCATTAAACCAACCAATATGCACGATATGGGAGTCCCAGAAAAGAGTGAAAGAAGAGAAAGGGTCAGAGAATTTGTTTGCAGCAATAATAGTGGAATATCCTCCTTTCTCTGTCTGGTGGTCCCATTATGCATATTTGTGCACTCAGTATTCCACATTTTCCAGCGGCTCTATTCAGTTTTCTTCATTCTCCTCTGCTCTTCAGATTGCATAATCTTTATTCATCTGTAACTTCTCACTGTTGATATTCTTTAATGTGATGTCATCATCATACCCTCCCTTACTCCTTTAAATATGGTTTCCCTTAGATCTTTGAGCATATTTATAATGGGTGCCCCGAAGTCTTTGTTAAATATATCATCTGTCTAGACCCTCTCACAGGCAGTTTCTGCTGTCTGCCTTTTTTTCTGTCTGTAAGTCCATCCTTTCCGGGTTTTTGCACGTATTCTACGTTTTCAGTTGAAAATTGGACATTCTAGATTATAGACTTTTCGGGGCTGCTTGTGGTTTGCTTGTTTATGTGGTCAGTGATTAGCTGACATTTTGGTGACATCTGGTTTTTTTCCACATATGAGCCTCTGACGTTCCTCTTGTCACAAGAGCTTGCTTCCAGTCACAATGGGATGGCTGGTTTGGGCAGGGATCTCACTGAGTCTTTCCCTGATCACACGTTACGGCAGGCCGGTTGCTTTGTTGTTTTTGACACTGAGACATGAATTGCTCCAGAGTCTGATCCAATTTCACTCCTGCCCCCTTGTAGAGGTAGTTTTCGAGGCCAGGGTTTGAGGTTTGCTCTAATCCTAAGAGGGCTTTCCTATCTCGCTCTTCCCCTGGTTCTCTGGTAAACGAGCTGGCCTACTTGTTTCATATATATGTATAGATTTTTAATGTTTTTTAAAAATTTTTAATGTTTATTTTAGAGAGAGGGAGACACAGAATCCGAAGCAGGCTCCAGGCTCTGAGCTGTCAGCACAGAGCCCCACACGGGGCTCGAACTCACGAACTGTGAGATCGTGACCTGAGCCAAAGTCAGACATTTAACTAGCTGAGCCACCAAAACGCCCCTAATGTTTATTTTTGAAAGAGAGAGAGACAGAGTGGAGGGAGAGACAGGGCAGAGGGAGAGGGAGACACAGAATCTGAAGCAGGCTCCAGGAGCCAAGCCGTGCTCACTCTGAGGTTTTATTGAATAAATGTTTCTTTGTTACACACCCTCATGACACTTTCCCAGAGCCTTAAAAGGATTGGGTTTTTAAAGCGGCTCATCATTTATATTTGTTTTGCTGGGGAGAGGATCCCACAGAGCTAGTCATTGCAGAATATGCTGTCATTGCAGAATAGTATTTTTTTTCTTTGGATGCTGTGGTGAATGGAACATTCTTAATTTCAGTTCTGGATTTTTCATTACTAGTAGTTAGCAACACATTTTTAAAAAAATGTTTATTTTTGAGAGAGAAAGAGAAAGCACAAGCAAGGGAGGGGCAGAGAGAAAGAGGGAGACACAGAATCCAAAGCAGGCTCTGAGCTGTCAGCGCAGAGCCCGACGCGGGGCTCCAATTAACGAACTGCAAGATCATGACCTGAGCCGAAGTCAGACGCCCAACCGACCGACTGAGCCACCCAGGTGCCCTGTTTCGATAGTTATTTTTACAGACAAGATTGTGTCATCTGCATATAAAGAGTTTTGCTTCTTTCTAACCTTTGTTCCTTTAAGTTCCCTCCTTGCTTTGCATTAGCTTGGTGTTCCAGGACAGTTTTGAATAGAAGTCGTGGGAGAGAGTATTTGTTTTGTTTCCAGTCGGAGGAGGAATGCATTCAGTCTTACAGCCCTAAGTACGATGCTACCTGTAGGTTTTTCATGTTTCATCAGATTGATGTTTCCTTCTAATGTTCTGTTTTGTTTTGTTTTTTGAGAGAGAAAGAGAGCGAGCAGGGGAGGGGCAGAGAGAGAGGGAGACACAAAATCCCAAGCAGGCTCCAGGCTCTGAGCTGTCAGCACAGAGCCCCACACGGGGCTCGAACTCACAAACCGCGAGATCCTGACCAGACCCAAAGTCAGACACCTAACCAACTGAGCCACCCAGGTGCCCCTGAAATTTCCTTCTAGATATCATTTGATGAGAAGTTGTAGAGTGAATGGATGTTGGATTTTTCTCATTTTCTTTTCCTCTGGGGATTATTATATACTTTCTCTTTAGTCTTTTAATATCTTATGTTGGTTTTCAGATGTTAAATCCACACTTGCCTTCTTGGAAAAGCTTCACTTAGCTATACTGTATAAACCTTTATATGTATTGCCATATTTCATTTCTCAGTACGTTAAGAGATTTTATGTTTGCGAAGGTCATTAATCTAATTGTTCCCCCCCCCCTTTTTTTCAGTCTACCCAAACCTGCTTGTGTATCAGTGTTTTCCCCCTCCAGCCTTTATTGTGGTATAATTGACAAATAAAATTATAAGATATTTAAAATATACATCGTGTTGATGGGTGGCTCAGCTAGTCGAGCATCCAACTTGATTTCAGATCATGATCTCAGGGGTCATAGAATCGAGCCTGTGTTGGGCTCCATGTTGAAATGTGCAGCCGGCTTAAGAATCTTTCTCTCTCTCTCTCTCTCTCTCTCTCTCTCTCTCTCTCTCTCTGCCTGTTCCTCTCCCCTACTTGTGCTCATGCGCTCTCTAAATTAATTAATTATTCATGGTGATTTGACACAAGTATACAGTGTGAAAGAGTTCCTGCCATTTTTTTTTCTTGTGATATCTTTGTCTAGATTTGATAAAATTATTTCTAATGTAGTTCCTCCTGTTTCATTAGTTTGGTACTGGTATTATTTCTTCTTTAAAGTATGTTAGAATTGGACGCCTGGGTGGCTCAGTGGGTTAAACCTCCCGGCTCAGGTCGTGATCTCACAGTTTGTGAGTTCGAGCCCCACATCGGGCTCTGTGCTGACAGCTCAGAGCCTGGAGCCTGTTTCCGCTTCTGTGTCTCCCTCTCTCTCTGCCCCTCCCCCGCTTGTGCGTGTGATCTCTCTCTCTCAAAAATAAATACACATTTAAAATATTAAGAAAAAAAAGTATGTTAGAATTCCAGCTGTAAAGCTATCTGGACCACAGCTCTTCTTTGTGTGAAGATGTTTTAACTACTACTTGAACTTCTTAACTTAATAGAGTCCTGTTCAGATTTTCAGTGTTTCTTCTTGAGTTGATTTATTAGGTGTGAATGTTGCTAGGAATTGTCCATTTCAAACAAATTATCCAATCTGTTGTCATAAAGAAGTTTATATGATTCCTTTATAACTTTAAATTTTTTTTAACGTTTATTCATTTTTTGATAGAGCGTGAGTGGGGGAGGGGCAGAGAGAGAGGGAGATGCAGAATCTAAAACAGGCTCCGGGCTCTGAACTGACAGCACAGAGCCCGACACGGGGCTCGAACTCACGGACCGTGAGATCATGACCTGAGCTGAAGTCAGATGCTTAACCGACTGAGCCACCCAGGCGCCCGGATTCCTTTATAGCTAAAAAAAAAAAAAAAAAAAAACACTCAGGTATGTTTGTAGATTTGGGTGGGTGAGGGGTGGAGTTTGGAGCTTTTTGTTTTTATTTTTTTTTGGAGCATGTATATTTGTTTCCTTGGTTTTCTATTTTTGTAATTTGTGTCTTCTTTATTTCTTGGTTAGTGCTGCTTTGATTTTTACAATTTTCTTTATCCTGTCAGAGAATAAATTTTGGTTTTGTGGATTTTTTTTTATTGGTTTTCTCTACTTCATTGATTTCTGTTATTTTCAGTATTACTTTTGATACTCTTTTCCTTAAGGTTTAGTGAAGTTGAAATTTAGATTGTTGATTTTAGGTCTTCCTTCCTTTCTAATGTATTTAAAAGTATGAATTTGACCCTAAAGTTTTTGTGTGCGTTCCATAAATTTTGATATTCTATTTTCATAATCATTTACTTCAAGATGCTTTTTTCAGTATTTTTATTACATCATTGATTAATTCCTTTTTTGTGGTTTGAACTATTTGATTTTTTCTAGGATCCAAAGCAATTTTTTTTAAAGAATTTTTTTTATGTTTATTTATTTTTGAGAGAGAGAGAGCACAAGCAGGGGAGGGGCAGAGAGAGAGGGAGACAGAGAATCTGAAGCAGGCTCCAGTCTCTGAGCTGTCAGCACCGAGCCCGATGCGGGGCTTGAACCCATGAACCGTGGGATCGTGACCTGAGCTGAAGTCGCACACAACCGACTGAGCCACCCAGGCCACCCCCAAAGCAATTTTTTAAGGTTAAATTCTTTCATTTCCATATAGTTAACATCTTTTCCCATGAAAATGACATTATTTTAGTAGGAACTTCTGTCCTGCTTTCATCAATGCCATGCAGCCAAAGATGACCAGGAACACAGTTACAGTAGAACATAGTTGAGTTACTGATACATTGTAATGGTGGAGACCATACACCATGAGGAACCGTGATGCGTCTCAGTAGAGGCTGGGAGGATGGATGGACTTCCTATCTCTGATTTGGGCTTACATTA